AAATTACAACATTTGTTGGTCCACAAAATGTTTCCCAACTTATTAAGTTTATAGTTGTTATAAAGTGAAATCGTAGAGCGCTTGCTGTAAACTATGACCTTGAGAGGACGCGTACATCAAGTTTGTTCCAAACGTCAGAAGTTTCATAGCTGTGCTCTCAGAGCAAGATTCTGAAGAAAAAAATGAGAAACAGAAGAGCAGCAAGGCACTTGGATATGAACGCCAAACGTTTCTTAACATAGTGTAGTAGAACGGACAGTGGTATAATAAATTAGAATAAATTCATATTATGTCTTGTTAGTGAAATGAAGTCAGAGGCTCCATATTAGAGAATGTACTAATAAAGAACAATGAGTTGTGATGTTTAACAAGTTGGAGTAAGCTCACACGAAGGGAAAGAAGTCAAGGCTGGTACAAGAAAAGCGGTTTATAAGAAGGGTGTGTATATAGAGGGTGAAGTGTTAAGAATATTAATGACCACATCTTTTATTGTCTAACTTTTTTTCCTTTTTTTGTTTGTCCGATGCCAGCCACACAATCTTAGTGTAAAAATCCGAGTTAGCATGTTATAGGTTGTCTTAGTAGAATAGCTAATCCAGCATAATATTGGAAACATGAGTTTGAGTGGTGAGCGTAGGGAAACAATCTATATCACAGATTGATTGACTAATTCTCAATCATGAGGAGCCTGACAAATACAAAATGTTCTGTCCCCACAAACACGGGTGGATTGAAGTTATCGCTCTCACCATCAATGCTTGATGGTCAGTAACTCCACCCTCCCTCCTTTGGCGGTTATCCAACTGTCCACCACTTTTAGCAAGTTGGTTGCACAAGAACAGTTAACTGTACCGCAAGCACACTTTCTACTATATACGATTAGCAAACCCGGGAATTCGCTTCCGGCAGAGATGGTCCGCGTGACTTTTCGGGATTCCTTTGAAAGAAAACATGATATATTAGGGACCGAGGAAAGTATTTCATTGTAATTTACTATTATTTCCCTAATGCATGTAAATTATGTACTCGTCCAAACATGATAGTATCGATCGCACGCGCTAATTGAAAGGACAGTGGAATTTTTCCACGCTGAGTATATTCTATTGTTTTGATCGTTTATTACGTATCAACACTACTGATTTCACTTTAATTGAATTTATTTTAGTTAAAGTATTCGATTAGAGTGTCGTTTCTGTTTCCAAATTAGTTTGTCATCGGTGTTCAAAAAGGACAGTGATTTTGTACTTGTTGTGATTATCCTTGATTTCGTGTAATTATTGTATCAAAATCATTCTTGGTCCAAATTAAAGTACTTTAGTTAAGGTTTGAAATCTTGCTAAAGTTTATCTTGTCGTACCCTTTAACTCGTTGACTGACACTGTGTTCATACTGTGATCATATTGTGTTTTACACCTCAATCTGACTAGAATGGTTGGTAGTACTCACAAATACGGACAACCAAACTGTTCGTTCCCTGTGGAAGAAGGAATGCAGTGTGATGAATGCAAAACGTGGTTCCATAAGATGTGCATACAAAAGATGTTCGAAGCCTAACTCACATTGGCTTTGCATGTTTTGCTGTGCAAATAAGACGTTACTAATACAGGAGGCTATGAGCCTATTAGCTTTGGCCTATAAGAAGAACGATGGCGCATGCGCTGATAACACGAGCACTGGCAGTGACGAATGTGTCAGTGTAGTACCTGCCGTTACAAGACGCCTTAAAGAACCGGCTTCGACTGACGGAAAAGGGAGATCTCCATTAACATTGACGAGGAGGGTAGTACCACCTGATACTATTATTGGTAACCACGCACCTCGAGTGGAATCTGAAGATCTGGATAAAACCGTTACCGCTTTAAATAGTCCCAAATTCCTGAGGGATGAAAAATGGACTAAAGTACGGAGAAAACGAAACGACAAGAATAAAGCTGTAGGTATTACGCAGGTGATTAGCAAGTCACTGGTCGACTCCCACTTTGAGTCACAAAATGCACCAACAAAATCTGATAGTAAGAGAGAAACCCACCCTGGCATGACTGAGAAGAAGAATCTATTATCATCGAATATTATTGTGAGCAATCGCTGGAGCCAAACGATCCTGATCCGAAAACTAGACACGCGCATGATTAAGAGAAGCTGGGAGAATATATTCGTAGTATCTTATCAGATTGCTCTAAAGGATTTCAGGTCGAAAAATTGGTTAGAATAGGCAAGAGGACTGAGGACAATGTTGAATCCCGACCATGCATTCTTCTTGAGGTGTTCCTAGGATCGTAGAAGCAAGAGGATCTCCTGTTAAGTAGCGCTCGTTGTTATGACAATTCCGACATCCGAGTTAGACCTGATATGTCACTCGAAGATAGAATAAAAATGAAGAAAGTACCAGCTGAAGAAGAAATCCGTCGACAAAACGGTGAGGAAAATCCCCGGTTAGTGAGTTTTCGGATAGTCTTGTCTTGGAAGCAAATGCTACCAAGGCCCTTGTGGATAGGCTGTTTTATATGCCAACGCTCGTAGTCTAAGAAATAAGTTCTATGGACTAGAAGCATTGATGGACAGATTAAGGCCACTCATTGTAGCAGTGTCAGAATCTAGGTTAGTCTATGACTTAGACAATTCTCCAAAATTATCCGGATACTATTACCTCAGGGGTGATAGTCATAGATGTAGAAAAGGAGGTGGTGTCCTGTTATATATAGCCAATAATATAAACATCCGCTCCTCTGATAGCGAATCTAATGGTAATTGTGAAGGCATTTGCTGTAAATTGGCTATCGGATGTAGTACATTTATTCTGGGTGTCATCTATCGCAGCCCAATCTGCTTAGCTGATAACTTTATTTTAGAGCACATTCATCTTTGGAGTGAAAATACCAGGTGCTTGATAATAGGAGACTTTAACGCATCTGATATTAGTTGGACTGATATGGCCACGGAAGAATCTATAAACTCCTTCGATAGTAGGATCCTGGTAACAATAATGGAGCATGCACTAGTGCAGCATGTATCCAAACCCACATGTTTTGGTGCTAACCAAGGTTCTTCTCTGTTGGACTTGGTAATCACTCATGATACCGAGGATATTGTTGACCTAAATATTATTCCACCGTTAGTGAACAGCGATCACGCTGTTTCGTCATTCATGTTTAGAACTAGGGACATGTTATACGATCACTTTACACTCCGCCCAAATGTATGGAAAGCTAACATATCAGCCATTCAGGAATGTGCTGCTAAGACAGATTGATTAGTGGATACTACCATATCAGTTGAAGAACCATGGCCTGTATTTAGAGGTGAGTTTAGTTCAGTTACATCTTCGCTCATACCATAGCTGGTACCGCGAAGACCGAATAACAGTCCGCCAAGGATAACTAAAACAGTTACGAGACTTCTTAGAAAAAGGAAGAAGCACTGGGATGTGTTCATCACTACTGGCTTAGAACAATACAGATCCAGTTATCGTAAGATTAGGAATGCCTGCAGAGCGTTAGTAAGAAAGACTAGACGATCATTTGAAAAACAATTGGTTAGGGAATCTAGATATAGTCCGAGACGGTTATTCTCGTATATAAAAAGGCGAATTCATCACATTTGATACGAGATAATCCGTTTATCTTAGCAGAGAATAATGCCGAAAAAGCTGAAGCTTTATCAAAATATTTCAGTAATGTGTGTTCTATCGGTAATGAGGGACGACCAACGACTCACTACGATCGCGGCGGCTCGCTAGTGGACCCTGTAGTCATTGAGAAAGGTACCATTTTAAGGCTACTTCAGCATCTCAAAGCTGATAAGTCAAGTGGTCCTCATGATATTCATCCTAGGATTACGAAAGCCATATCAGATTTATTTGCAGAACCATTAGCGATACTGTTTGACATGCCTCTAATGCAGTCCAGACTGCTCAGAGACCGGAAAAACGCTATAATAAGCCTGGCGTATAAAGCTGGGAGTAGGGATTTAGTAAGCAACTATAGACCCGTTAGCTTAACTAGTGCAGTTGTAAAACTGATGAAAAGATCATTCGGATATTTGTTATAAACTATGTTGAATGGCATAGACTTTTCTCCAGGGAACAACATGGCTTTTGGAGAGGCCTATCATGCTTGACAAATCTTCTCGTTGCAAGAGAAGATTGGACTGCGGCAAAAGACTGGAATATTCCTGTGGATGAGATCTCCATAGATCTAAGTAAGGTTTTCGATAAGGTCTCCCATTCTGGTCTTAAAGTCAAGCTGGAACGTTTAGGAATCCATTATATAGATTGGATAAGTAACTTTCTCCATGACAGGAGACAAAGTGTAAGGGTTAATGGGGCTCCCTCCTCGTGAATACCTGTAAAAATGTAGTCCCCCAAGGTATAGTCCTTGGCCCTCTTCTCTTTTTACTTTATGTAAATTAATTACCAACTGTAGCAAAATCATCCGTTCTACTCTTCGCTGATGACATAAAGATTTGGAGACCCATACACAGTTTGTCAGATAGAATAGTACCGCAGGATGATCTCAACTGACTGGTGGCATGGATGATCACTAGAAGTGAATCCTAACAAGAGTGTTGCAATGCGATTAAATAACTATGATGATTGGTATCACTACACAATATATGGATTCGTGCAATGATCTCAAAACGACTAGTCACTGTAAGGCTGCTGCTGCGAAAGGCTATATGGTATTATGGTCAACTCGCAGGTCTTTCCAGCATATTGATGATGAAATTTTCGGATTGTTATACCCAATTTATGTGCAACCACATTTAAAATATGGGATTCAAGCAGCAAGTCCTTGTTTCAAGTATGAAGCAGAGATTCTGGAAAGAGTCCAACGACGAGGTACTAAGATGGTACAAGGTCTATCTGGCCTATCTTTTGAAGACAGACTGCGATATTTTAACTTATTTCCGTTATCTTACCGTAGAGTATGGGGTGATCTTATATCGGCTTATCGTATACTGAACGATGGCCTTGATATCAACATGTCTTATCTTTTACTTCCATCTAGGACTGATAATTTGAGAGGACATTCGAAGAAAGTTCAAAAACCGAGATCAAATCGTTTACGTCTAAAGTTTCGTTTCTCTCACTGAGTAGTGAATTGCTGAAATTCTCTACCGGAACACGTAATATCAGCACCTTCTGTTAATATATTCAAAACGAGATCGGACCTCCACAGTATTACAAACTGCAAGAATTAATATAGGTTGATAGACCTCCTGTCCTTATTACTGAAGACTGATTATAAGCTGCTTCTAGATTATAAAGCCGTCAACTGTTAGCTCTTTCTATTTTGTCGCAACCACCTGAAGGATAGAGTGGGTTGTTCATCCGATGCGTTACATGTGCATAATCTATCTTTGGTTGTCGCTATTTGACATCTAAGAGTAAGTCGTTGTGTGTTTCTATGCGACTAAGAAAACTAAAGCAGTATTTTCTCAAAACTAACTTGTCGGTTAATTGTTTCTTCGTTATTTCTATTGATGAACCCATCAGCTTTTCTCTTGTGGACGTGTTTACAAGTTGAATTATTTCAATTAGTAGTGGTCACGTCTTAGTCTCTTTTAGTGTGTTTCTTCATTTGTTGTCTTCTGTCAGATGATCTTAGTCTGTGTTGCCTGCTAACTATGAAAGCTCTAACCTGTCTACGTGGGTATCTGGCAGTCTTTAAGCCTTCCGAATTCCATATCCGTAGTGTCGTGAAATTCGTCCAAACCTTCTCTAAAGTTAATCTAAATTACTTCTTTCTGACCAGCCCGAAAATAAAGTTCATTTTTGCATGACTTACCATTACTAAAGTCATACTGGTCACTGTCTTACAAGCATCAGGTTTTAAAGAGAGTCATAATGGTTTTATCGATAATTTTCATGATTTTCTAAAGCCAGTCGGTTCATAATTTTGTGGAGACTGCCTACATTCTGTTTCTTAGGTCATGATAACCTACGTCCACCTAATGCAATAGTCAAGTACACTGTCTGGATGACATGAAACATTGTTAGAGTAGCATCAACATAAATTTAGGGTTGTCTGAACAACCTAGAATATAGTTCGTAAAACGACATTGACTTCCTTTCATACAAAGTGCCTAATGTTAATATGTTTTGTTGGTCAGTATCTGCGACTAGTAATCAAATTTACTTCGTTACTTTCGCAGCTGATTATCCATTGATCAGTATTCTGTGGAGGGCTTCTCTTCATTGAACAACCATAACCTCTGCTTTAAAAAGGACAGTAGTATTCTTCCTCGCTGAGTCAAATTTATAGTTTTGATTGTTTATTATGCATCAAGAGTGTTGTTTTTCCTCAAAAGTAACTAATCATCTGTACTTTTTAGAAGTGTGCTTGTCGTTTTTTGTTGCATTTTTGGATCTAACAGTCAATTACTAATGCACGAGCCGTCGATACCCCGTGGGAAGTAGCATACAGTGCGATGAGTGTAAAGGATGGTGCCATAAAGTTTGAACGAATCTAACGCCTGTAGTTTTCAAACGGTTTGGTAAAGAGTAGCCTGTGATTTTGTTAGCGGTGCTGCTTGGACGTAAATAGCTTGCTTTCCGAGGCCATTACAACAGTGGGTACTGCTAAAAGAAGTATTAGCAGACGTAATAGAGACACATCAAACAGTGCTCACTCGGTCGATACACAAATTAATGTGAAGTTACTTCACATAAACTGAGTCAATAGACTTACGCGGGCAAATGGAAAGACGACGGCCTATAAAGAAGTTTGTTAGGAATAAAAGCTCAAGAAATGAATTTTTCTATCCCTTGCCCTTCGAATGGCAGCGAACAGGAAACGCCTGGAAAGCATACTCATGGAGTTTGGTCTTTTTCTAGCAGGAAAAACAACTTGACTGTTCAGGTAATCGATAATCATCCTGGATCCGTCGATGTGTGTGTGTGACGCGACTGTGATTTCTACTCCTATGAAAGTTGGCGAATGGGTATAGATCAAGAATAAGAAACAACCTAGTGTTGCCATAGAAAGCTGAACCTGTGAATTAGGTAGTTGCCGCTTAAAATGCGGAGCAGAAAGATGCTGATTATCTTGGCCTACCGCAGTCCAAACCGTGAGATTGATGATATCTTACTAGACAGTCATCAAATTGTTGATGTTAAATCTTAGGAGACTTTAATGAACCTACGGCGCACTGGGAAAATCTGACGAATAAGTTGTCAAAAAATTCTTCCGAACGGAAACTAGTTGACGCGTTTATTACATGTGAGAGAAACAACTAGGCACGACTCGGACTCCGAATCATCCTTACCGGGTCTCATACTGACCCATTTCAAGAATGACGTCACAAACCTCCGTTATGTGTCACCCCTAGGGGAAAGTGACTATGCAGTTCTAGTTTTTGATTTCCTTATACTTGTCAGCCCAAGCCAAACTGACCCGACCGTTGTTGCTACCTTGACGTGGTGATTAGGCTTGCCTATCGTGATGAAGCAACCGAGCTATGCTGGCTGGGACAATCGTTCCTCGAGGTCCTACCATATCAGACAGGTCGGTTGAAGAGCGGTAAGACTAGAAGCAACAAACCCAAGGTACGAAGGCGAAGTCGTACTGCTGACTGTACAGAGGTGCGGCAGCAGTAAGGTGTTTCCTTCAGACAACCAGCATGACAGCGATGCTGCCTTCCCACAAAGAGGGGTGGGGTTAGAAAAGATCGACCCTAAAAATGCACACCTCGCCTTTCCCACGGATATCCGTCTCCGGCGGTAAGGTCTCAAAAAGTACGGAACTAATACAAAAATTACTCACAAAAAGGTCATGTGTGACCGACCTCGAGCAGTTGTCCTTCGGGCACTGCGGTCACACTCTCAGGTCACTAAGACCACCTCTAATCCAATTTGCTTTTCAGGTACCTCCAGAAGAACTCTTCCACGGTGTGGGTAACCGGGAAGTGATAACCGCCCTCATACCTCTAACAGCACTCAAGATCACTGTATTCATAATCAACCTCCCTCTTCAATTCCTATTATTCCCCCCAAATCGACTTTCAACTCTAAACTTCCTCTTTCGGCTTACTCCTCAAGTGTCACCATAGCCAACGATTCTAGTGCTCAAAACACTGTCCCAGGTCTACTGAAACCTCGCTCCAAACTACACATTCGAGCCTTCAATGTACGCACCCTATGTCAAATCGGTCAGCAGGCTTCCTTGGCTAAAACCCTAGAGTCTCTTGTCATTGATGTGTGCTGTGTCTCCAAAACACGCATACAGGATTCCAGTGTGGTCATTCACTTGACCTCACCTCGGTAAAACGGAGAGCCAACGAGATACACCCTCCGTGTATTTGTTGACCCGATGGCCAGTTCTCGTGGACTGGCAGGTGTGAGCATAGCTCTAAGCATGAGGGCGGAACAGGCACTGCTAGAGTGGGTCCCCGTCACCAATCGTCTATGTGCTGTCCGGATAAACGGCTCCGTAAGAACTCGGAAGGATAGGGATGCCATTCGTTGCCTTTTTGTCGTTTCTGCCTACGCTCCCATCGACTGTTTGGACTCCGATCATGCACTAATACGGGCACTCATCTGCTTGCGCCTCACTGGACGCGAAAAAGCCACACATTAACAAGATCCATTAGAACTGAATTGAGTAGCGAAAAAACCAGAAGTAGGTTCCAGAAACAAGTGAGGTCACACTTAGGTGGTTCTGAAAACGAGACTGACCCAGATGTTGCTTGGAAAGGCATGCAATCAGCTGTGGAAACAGCAGTGACATCTATCAGTGATTTAAACCACAGGGTTACAAAGAACCAATGGATTTCCTCAAGGTCTATCGCACTGATGGATTCTCGTAAACTCGTCTAATCAGACTCTGAACACGATGAAGAGCGACAACAAATCAGATCTAGGTTAAGTAAAAGTCCAAGGAACAACCGTGAGCAATGGTGGGCAACGAAAGCAAAGGAGATGGAAAAGGCGGCGGCTATAGGGAACACAAGACACCTCTACAGACTAATAAAAGAAACTGGAATTAATAAGTCAAGCGTAAGCCAGACTTTTTCGGAAAAAGACGACACTCATATGCTCCCAGTCCAGACGTTTAGAACGATGGGCGGAACAGTTCAGCTGGCCTTCAGCTACTCTACAACTACCCTCTATTTCCAGACAGTGTGAATGGAACATTGAAGTAGGTCTTTCAACTCTAGCTGTAGTTCAAAAGGCTATAGTTAACCTGAAACGAGGAAGGGCAGTTAGTCCAGATGGATTGGCTCCAGAGGTCTTTAAGGATGGTGGTCCAATTTAAGCGATTAGATTGATTAATATTTTAGCTAAAATCAAGGAGTTATACGTTATCCCATCTGACTGGTCACAATCACTTATCGTCCCGATATATAAGAGAGGGTCAAAATCATCCTGTGACAACCATAGAGGGATTAGTTTGACTAATATAGCATCTAAAATACTGGCCTCAATAATTTCAGGTGTCGTTGCAACCCAATCGTGAAGCAACATTTTACATTTCGAGGGGGAGAATTGCATGCCGAACATACTTGCATTGTTGCTCAGAGTGGTCAGAAGACTCTGCATTTTGTCAGCGTCTTCTCCAAATAGAACTGTATCATCGGCATATTCCAAGTCAACAAGTGAACCTCCCGGTAGAAGTTCAACCCCTGTAAATTTTGATGAAGAGTGTTATCCCTAAAAGCACGTCTACGATAAAGTTAAACAAGAATGGAGAGAGTGGACAGCCCTGACGAACACCACTTGAGGTAATCAATTCTGATGACAGTTCTCCATAAGCTCTCACTCTACCAGTTGTGTTCGAGTAGAGAGCCTGGATAAGGTTAATGTACTTCTTTGGTACCCCTTTCAGTGACAAACACGATCAACAGAGTCGAATGCTGCCTTAAGGTCGAGAAATACTACGATTGTGGGGCATCTGAACGTGTGTCTGTGTTCTAGAACCTGACGTAGTGTGAATATCTGATGTATACAACCATATCCAGGTCAAAAACCAGCCTGGTTTTCTCTAATCTGCTCTTCACGAGCTTCGGTTAGGCGTCGAAGTATTATTGAAGCTAATATTTTAGACACTACATTTGTCAAACTGATTCCTCTGTGATTGTCACAAGAGGACTTTTGTCCTTTCTTAAAAACTGGCACAATCAGTGATTGAGACCAGTCAGATGAGATTGCGTGTAGTTCCCAAATTCTACCTAAGACCTCAGTTAATCTCGCTGCCAAACTGAACCGCCATCCTTAAAAATCCCAGGGGTGAACCTGTCAGGGCTTCAGACCCGGTCGTGGCTGCATCGACCACATATTCACTATTCGTCAATTTCTAGAACACAGGCATACTTATCGGCGTTTGACAATGGTGGTCTTTGTTGACTTAAAAGCAGCATTTGACTCTGTAGACCGCGAGATTCTGTGGCAGTATCTGTCATTGAAAGGCTGACCTCAGAAGTACATAAACCTTGTAAAGGCCCTTTACTCGAAAACTACTAGTCGAGTCAAAGCTTATGACGAACTGTCGTCTGATTTTGCAACGTCGAGTGGTGTCCGTCAACGCTGTTCACGTTCTCCATTTTCGTTCCATTCTATTAAGAGTAGAAGATACTCGTAAGCTACTAGTATTTGACCACAGATGCTTTAGAAATATTGCTGGCGTCTGCTGGGATCACCGGGTATGTAATAGTGAGGTTAGACGCAGGATATTAGGGAATGATGATAAATCAGTTGAGATGGTTAGGCTACATGTCACGTATGCCTGAACACCGATTGCCAAGACGCACAATGCTAACGGGTGTTGGAGGTGGTTGGAAGAAAGTTAGGGGCGGCCAAACCAAAACATGGCATCAGTGCTTGAAGACACTAACTTCTAGTCTGAGCCATGTTGGTAGGTGTTGACTATTTAGTTTGGGGTCCGCGTGACTATCGTAACCAATGGTTGAAGACTCTTGGTGACATGGCTCAGAATCTATCACAATGGCGTAGGTGTATACACTCTTTATCTTCCCCTAAATTAAGAGATTAAAATCACTTCATATCTTTCTTTCTTCCTGTACTATATCCTTATATGCAATCTTTCTTTTATATATTACCACTATTGACTTAACCACTCCTATGAATCCAGTGTTCATCTTGCTGTGCTAATGCGGTATGGCAACTTGGGCTGATGCATATATGTGCCTGGTCCTACGTTGTAGCTGACTGACTGACTTGATAGAAAGTTACTCCATCTGATTTTGGTTTTGCGCATGCAATTTATGTATGTTGGCAATATACCTATTCAGCATCTACTCGTAAAGTTCGATTGTATCTCACTTCCTTCCTTTTATTACAGCAGGCGTCAAAACTCACGGTTAATCCATAAAAGTCAGGTTTTTTATTGAAGAATAATCAAGGTTTTGGCTTTTGTATTACCCGATTTTATATTTTGCTTGGAATAGCTGTGTTAATAACTCGCTTTTACTATGTGAAGATTCGTGTACTTGGCTTTGAGCAACATTACGTGTTTGGGCTAGTAATACTACCCGGTTGCTCAAACCAAATACTGTTACCACTTCTGCTACTTAGGAATTTGTCATGATAATTTCATCTCTCCGTGTTAATATGATGTGGAAATCTGAACAGACACATGATTTTTAAGGTTCTACGTTGTACATGACTAAAACCGAAGTAGACCTCCCACTTTATTACCTGATTAGGCATCTATATCCTTCTTGAAAGTAGGTCTCTTGGAATTTGGATAATATTCTGTTACTTGGCCGAAATCAATTAGTTTGCTGTCACTATATAGTCTACTACTGCTTTAGTTATGAGACTGATTTTTAGTGTTAGTGTCATTAACATCAGTGATATCTAGTGTACTCTGTAAGTAAGCAGTGAATTTTTATCTGCCTAATGTGTGTCAACTGTTAATTTACAACAGGTTTCGGAAAATATCGATGATTTAATGTGTATATTGTCTCTTATCATTTCGTAGATACCAAATAAAACTAAAATGCCCCGACAAGCGGAACTTATCTGTCCAGAAGACCAAACACCCATGCGAGGGACCTGTAAACCAGCAGATGCTGAATCACATGTCGATTGTACTTCACTTAAGGAAGTAACGAAAAAATCTAAACATCATTCAAAAAGAAGTTCTCAAACTACTCACTCAGATGGTAAAGAGAAAACTCTGAAAACAAAACATGCAAAGAATAGAAACGAATCCTCAGTCGTTATCAGTCCTAAGCTCTCTTCGGATGTTAACCAACCGAATAGTGCAGATAAAGAAGGGCTTGAAAAAGAAATTACACTCGGTAAAAACAAGCGCGAACATGTGAAAAAAAAGCGAAAACATTCGAAAGGTGAAACAAGGCATGAAAAGCGTAGCAAACATGATGATGCGAACTCTGAGGTAACTGTTGGTCAATCACTTGTCAAAGAATCTGTCCGTAAACACAAGCATCGCGACAAACCTCATGGTTCGCCAAAGATGTCAATGGTGGGTGGGATAACTCATCGTTCTACGAAGTCTGTCGTTTGCGGGGACAATTGTCGCCAAGATGCTCCAACTTCAGTAAAAGAACAAGGCTTTGAAGTTGTTCCACGTTCTTATACTTATGAACCCGTTCCAGGGACACCTTCATCCGCTTCTAGATGTTCTTCACATATTTCGCGTTCATCTTCTTTTAGCCAATCTCCGACACGCTCTGGAAAACATGAAATACACCGCGTCCATGACCCACGTTTTCATGAAAAGTTACACAGGCAGAGGTATGAGCAGAACAGTAGATCGCCATCCATGCATTTACATCATGATCACAAACCTGACCTTCCTACACGGGCCACAGATAGCGATCATGGAACTAATCCTGAAGAAAAGTATAATTCAGTAAAAAGAACGCAATCATCTGTCAGTTCACCTTCGAAATCAAAGCGATATAATTCAGCTACTTTAAGTTACGGGTATCGTCAATCAACACAACGTCACCATTTATCCCCAAGTCATAGGTCTCACTCAAGACATCATGGACCTCATCGTGAAAGAAGTTGTAGTGGCTCGGAAAGATATGAATCTAGACGAACATCAACATACCGCGCAGGTGATAAACAACATATTCACTCAAAGACTTATCTCGCTAAGGCAAAACCCAGATATCATAATCCGGATGACAATCCTGATTTACATGAGATTAGTTATTCAAAAAATTATGAACGTCGTCACATACGTGATTCTAATAGCACAAAAAGACACGGAAATGAAAGTCATCGACGTGAAACTATTGAATCTTTATCACCGTCACCTAAAATCTCAAAACAACTTCGTGAGAATTATGAACCTCAATATCATTCAACACGTCACCAAGTTAATAACGTGAGTATCTACAGTCACTGTAGTTAAAGATGATCATCGTATTTTGGCATCGTGAATCATTCTTTTATAACTATTTAATCCATATTTCGATTGCATAACTGCCATACAATGTTTGGCAGTTATATCTGTCAACCAAAGGTTTGTTTTGGAATCCAAGTTTTCTGGTAAAATTAAACCCAACGTCAATTTGTCTTGCCAAAAGATTAATATTAGCCATGACATTTTTTTATTTCGACGTAATAAATTTTTTTAATGATAATCTGTAAGATGTTCGCTACTTATAATTATCGTTAATGAAATAATGCTACAAGAAACTAAAAGTACAAATGTTATTCTTATTATCAACAATTAAAAGTTAAGTCAGAATTACAATATAAAATCGATGATAAGTAACTTTAAAAGCGAAATGTGGTTAGAAAGATCTTGGAAACAGGGGTAAATTGGATAAGACTAAGAAGACAGCAGGGAGGATTTGAGGCTACTTTAATTGAACAGTCGATTTTGACAAGGTATTCTATTATTGCACCTCATATTACTTTCTTTTCAACCATATTTTATGGTGTTCATGCGTCCCGTTTGGAATGCACATTAAATGACTGATGTACCTGGCTGTACAGAAACGGCTGGAGTGACTAATGTATATCGAAGTGGTCATATTTGAGAGTTTGTCTGCTAGATCATTGGTAAATATAGGTTTTCTCATCGGGTTTTCTTGTTAATTCAACACCAAAGAAGTGGAAGTTTAATCCGCTTTTTAACTCAAAGGTAAATTTTGTTGCTACATGGTAGGTAATGAATATCTGTAAAATCACAAATAATAAAAATATTTCCAATATATCTTCGATGTGGTTGAAATTCACGGACCATTTTCCAGATTAGTCATAGAACAATCTACTAATGACAGAACTAGAAGAATTCGCACGACTATTCCATCTTTTTGCATGCAGTTCGTATCATTTAGTGTTAATTACACATTGAAAGTACATCTTAGTAACGCCAAAAAAATAGTTTAATGTAGTTGTTTTTACCAGTTATGTTAGTATTATGTTCTACTTTCGTGATTTCTCTAGAAATACTAACGTTTCTAATCGTTAGTTTCTTTAACTTTCTAACTGGCAGAGTAAAAAAATATAAGCGATAAAAGCTCAATTTTACTCGATTCGGTCTACATCTTTCACATTTACCGGAATATCTGATCATCTTTTGTCTGAGTGCTCAGTGTTTATTAGTTACTACTCTCAACTATGTAATACGTATTAGATAAGATGTCTCATGCCTTTGAAAAATCAATATTCGTACTTTTGTTTTGTTCATTTTACGTATCTATCATTCAGACTTTCCAATGGCACCCGTATACAGAATCCAGTGTTCATTCTGCTCAGATCAATTACTGTTTTGAAATATAACGTGTTTTGTAACAATTGTATTTGTTTCTCTTGAAGTAGTTGATGAGAAATTGGTTGTTCATTTCAGATGAACTTGATAATTTTCATTATCACTACATCAACGACTAAATAGTCCAGTCATCTATACTAAATAATCATCAGAATTTATTTGCCAATATTCTTATTTACTAGTGTCAGCTTAGAACTTTATAATTTAGTCTTACAGCAAAGGCACGACGCGTCAACTCGGAAGACTAAATCACCATGAACCTAAATTTAATCACATTAAGTAGAATTGAACTCTAACCAAGTTCACATATATGTATTTGACAATGACTTGTTTTTTATTGTGCCGGCTTAACAGACTACTCAAATTTCCGAACTGATATTTGTGGGACTGAATTAAAACCCACTTCTCAATACATAACGACTAAATGTTTAAACCTCACAGCTCTAATTTTGTTGCTGTAAAACATCTATCTAGTCTTCATGATATAAAAAAAAACATTTTTCAGACTATTAAAATCATATGTCCTCATACTTTCGTAAGAAATTTAACTAGAAATTCACTTATCAGTGTATGTTGTAAAACCTATGACTTTTATTCCCAATCCCCAAATAAATGATCATGGAAACAGTCTTTGTGATATTCTTTTTTTGTATGTTCTAAGTGTAAGACTAAACGAACTTGATCAATAATCGTATGACATGTCATCCATTGGCGTACAACGATATCCAAATGTCATTGACGACCTACTGGAATTAGTGCTTGAAGTACCTGTTGGTTTTCTATTCTTTATTATGCCTCTCATACACTGTATACTATGGTTGTGTTTCACTAAACATATATTCCAAGCTATTAAATACGTTTGTAGATTTAAAAAGTAAATAGTTAACCTATTTATAGCTAGTTTATCTATACTCTCATTGAGATCGTCTACGCACTAATCCGATAAGTGTTTAACAATATTTTTATTCTTTCTTTACATAACTAATATATACAATATGAATTCGTTGCCTTTCATGCTCATGTTATCATATATACATTACTCGTAACTTACCTTTTGAACGTAGTTACTGAAATCCCAGTCAGACATACACCCACCTCTGTTGCCAAAACGTGATCGACGAAGCACAAATGAAGTTCATGATTCTTGTAGTCCAAGCCGGAAGTCAACCAATAGCATCCCAGTTTGTACTGAGTCTGCTCATCATCCCTCGAGTTCTCCTCCTCATCCTCCTTGTTTTCTACCTAAGGACAAAGATCGAAAACTACAGGCATCTCACGCTCTTTGTGAACTTTTGGATGGATTAAAGTGTGAAGATGTTTCGGATACTGAATTGCACTTGATAATCCCTCCTTCTATGATCAATACTTTGTCATCAGACACATCGCTGGGTTGTAATAATGAATTAACATGTAAAGCTGAATTGTCAGTCAAAAATAATCGTGATGGTACCTATAACAGTAATGATAACAATAATAGTAGTAATAATGCGAATTCAAATCATTTGGTTGCTGAGAAAGTTGAGAAAGATGAAAGCACTTATCAAAATAGATTAAATAATAATATTAATCTAGACTCTTTAGAAGCTTTATCCACTCAAATTAGACAACATATGACAGGTCCAGAAAATTGGGATATTAATGACTTAGCCGATCCCATTGAACTCGGAGAAGAATATTCAGAAAATACGACTGATCAGGCTAATTCAGATTTTTTAAATTCAGAGAAATCAAACGACAGTTTGTATACGCCATGGCAAGAATTAATTGAATCAGCCGGACAAAAATTATCCTTAGATGCCACTAAATCGGATGAACAAGATTATGTTCAGTGTGTTGGAACTTTCATCGCTGGTATAGGACATCAAGACATTGTAAGTGTATTTTCGATAAACTTGTTTTTCTTTTTCAAAATTGAGAGTTATTATAGTTTCCATGTTTACTAGTATATTTTACCTTTTTAAATTTGTCTTTAATTGACATTCTGTTGATCTAAATACGTAACTGTTGACCACATTAAGATTTCACTACTTCTATAAACTGTTAACATAACTTTTTTTCATACGCAAGTTAGTCGTCGTTGTCATACTCTAAGATATTCAGGTTATCAATTGGATAATCTTTATTTCATAAATTTGTTAATCATAGATTTCATTGAGGGGACGTGCCAACGGTATTGATGTCTTACGAAGGACTGGAGTTAGCCGTACATATTTCGACAGTGATTTGCTTATGCATTTATCAACAAATACTAGTTCAAATGAACAGTCTGGAGAGATTTTGTGTCAGACAGTCGAATTCCCAGATACATGGGCTAAAGCAAATTGTAGAAATTCACTAACCGGTTCAGGAATTTTAAATCAATTATCTAAATTAGTATTGCCTTTGTCACGTAAAACGGATGGTTATCTTCGCCAAAATTTATTGAAAATTATCAAATGTACATAATTACTTGAACTTCTACGTATTTCTTTTCCTTTTTGACTATTTATGAGGATATTTTTGTAAAACAATTTTCACTTGTTTACTTGACAACTTATTTGTACAAATCACCACTATAGTAAACTTTTTTAAATAACCATATTAGTAACTTTCTACTGTGAAAGAGTTATGTTTTTGTTCGTTAGGATATTTTGTTGTCATATTGTATAGTGATAATATGAGTTTCATTTCACACATAAACTGTGGCTTTTAACCAACACATCATAAATATATTCGCCATTATCTTTGCTACTGTTATAGTACAATAAAATAAACACTATCTAGTGTATTACTCATATCAAAAATTCTATTCAGACTTGGAAATGCCAAAATACTTAAGTGCTACAAAAACCCAAGATCTGTAATTAACTTTGGACATACGTAATTTTTGCACGATGTTAAGATAAGCTACACAAGTAAATGGTGATTAAAACAAGCTTATTGAATAATAGTGAAGGCTCAGTATAAATCGTTAGTGCTTTTGATGGATTGGATTAATTGCGATTCATATACCTGATTTACCGAACCATTCCATTCTGTAAAATGTAGTTATATTATAGTGGTGCATGGAATAGTAATAACACCTGAAAGAATAAATGTCGTATTCATCCAGCCGAATTACTATTGTTTACTGTTTTGTTATGGAATAGAATAGCTGTAGTGACAGAAATACTAATGTTATCTCTAGTTTTTTGCTTTTTCTGTTGCGTAACATAGAAGAACAGGATGCCCATAAGTTAATTGGTACATTCACTCTGCGAATCCGTTCTGAAGCTAAGGGAGAAGTGTGATGATGATATCAAAGCATCCAGGAAAGTCATCTGTAAATTGATCTTGTAATTCAGTCCGGCTTTTGCTCATCATACTCCAAATTAATGGTGTATTATCCGTAGTCCAACATCACCTACAAATGTCTTAATAATCACGAAAAGATACGACCTAACTCGAAAACTTACTAGTTTGATTTGCCATAGCTTCACACAGAGAATCGTAAAAGTGATCATGTAGGAAAGCACTGATAGTCGGGGAACAATTATGTAATTTAATATGACGAAGAAAAAGTGATAGAAAAGAACATGTTTACTGTTGTGATCGAAAACATTTAGGACCTTTTTGGTGGAGTTTTGTTCTCTGAGCTTGATGGTTTGGTCGTGGAGCTTTCATCGTTCTTCTGAACGACATCATCAGCACAAACTTCAAATAGAAGTGAAGTGTTAGAATTTCTCCATATGTGTTTCACAGCTTGTTCTGTGCACCTCAATCAACATCGAGGTGCACAGAACAAGCTGTGAAACACATATGGAGAAATTCTAACACTTCACTTCTATTTGAAGTTTGTGCTGATGATGTCGTTCAGAAGAACGATGAAAGCTCCACGACCAAACCATCCAGCTCAGAGAACAAAACTCCACCAAAATCATCCACCTGAGCTACAAATCTTCTCCACATTTAGGACCACTAACCAATGATTTCCAAGATCTTAAGGACTGCATTCGGAAACCCTATTTTCACTAATTCTAGATGGTGCTTATTTCATGCCCTTCTAATAGTTGGCTTGAGATTTCAGTATACATCGACTAGCCAAAATATTACGAATAAAAGTTATGCTTCCATCAGGAAATTCTGAGACTACCTCTGATCCTAGGTTTTCAGATGAGACGATTAGTCTGAGCAAGCAAAACATATTATCAGCCTAGAGTTTTGAAAACAGTGACCCTGAACTGCAAATGTTCGTTATAATTTAAGAAATGCAAGTGTGGTATGCTTATTATAATGAGATAACCAAAACCTCTGTCAACAGATTGGCATACATTTTCTAGACGTTCACTATATCAGTTTTCACCAACCACAAATTTTCTATCAATCAATGACTCTGTTCAAAGCTCCTATTTCACTTCTTTGATTACTTCAACAGTTTGCAGGAAATAAATTATAATGGGTTGTTTATTGTCTTGTGAATAACAAGAAAGGTTTCCTAATTATCAATTCTTTGTTTGGCATCGAGTATATGGAATTATACAGAGCATGTGACAGACCTTATCTCTTCTGTTACAAACCATACTAGTGCATATTTTTTCGTAAGTTGTAAAATGATCCCCGCTATAACTCTAAGGTAGTTGATTTTATGGTGGCATTCAAATTTGAAAATTCATGTAGGTGTGAATATACAAATCTAGTTTTCGGTTAGATTTTTGTTATGAGGTGATAGAATACTATGTCGACCTCGACACCATAGTTTCCTAGCTGTATTCTACATGCGATCTTATGTGGACAGTTCACCTAGAGGTTCCGAATTTGAATATCACATAAATCTATCCTGGTTTTCATCGCTTCTCTGACTGGTATCATTTCTTGTGGCCAGAACTAATTCCAGATATCTTTTACTACATAGTTACGAATCCAAACATTACTTATGCATTATAGTAGATAAAGTAATGAATAGACATCCTAAGGATCATATGAAACGAATAATTAATTTTCTCACAACAGATTATATTACTTAAAACAGGCAGTCTATGAGTAACAAATGTTTTATCTTCACAAGAAAAGACATTGAGATTTTCTAGTTGACCTGCGGCAAATTATATTTACGAACGGTTGAGGATTCGGCTACGTTGAACTATAAGGCGAGCAAATCATCTCAAATTCATGACGCATATCAAATACAATAACGAAGGAAATTCCAACAGTTGATTTCATTAAAAAAATATCTTACTCAGAAAAACATAATTATACGTGCATCTTCATTCTTATTAATAATTATCTTTATTATTCCTAATATCATCATTGTTATGATGATCACATAAACTACACCAAAACATCCCCTATTTTATAAGCAATGTTGGATGGTGGCTAGCAGTAGAATCTAAGATGCGCGGTTCGTCTTATTTGAGACTCATCAACCGGGTGCGCCTGCATCTTGTGTTGTGGTTCACCCCGGGACTCAAATCAAGCACCGTTTGTATATATTTAGCTGCCGAGTTCAGGTAGTCACTGGCTTGTGAAATAGGATGGGCGCGTCCTGGATTTCACCGACAGCCATCACCCAACTCTGCTTAAAGTGCTTGTGACTTAATGACAGTATTAAGGCAGGATGCACATATGCTAAAAGAGACCTGTCAATTTCGGTCCTAAACATTATTGGGAAGATTCAAAGAACCAATACCAATGAATTTTGTATCAGCTTGTGTTTACATTCGACTTTTACTTATTGATTAGAACCCATCACCTTAAAGCACATAATTTTGCTTAGTCTTTATGCACGACCTTTTCTAAACATTACCAATGTTGTTATTTTGTTTTTGTTGTGACTTTAAGTTGTGGTTGATTTTTACCCTGTGCTAACTGTTGTGTCCTTGACTGAAAAACTAGAGAACAGCGTATTTATCGACCGATTCAATGACATGTGAACACGTACGAACGTAATGGACGACCTAGAGTTACGATTGGTCCCGATTCCCTGTCTATCCCAGCCAGTTGAGTCCAGAACACAAATCTCAGCCTCTGAGTTATGAATCATTGTATTTCAGACATATTCTATTTATATACTAACCAAACATACCACATCGTACCATAAAAATAGAATACAACATTTTGTACAATATTCAACAAGTGGACAGATATCGACCAGTAGGAAATGTCCATTTAAAGTCGAAGGACACCATTGGACTTAACATGATAATTATTGGTCTATCCTTCGCATCCACAACAGTTTTATTGGTAATGTGTAGCATTTATGATTTGATTGACGAGAAGTTTGGCATTTCTGCAGTATAGGATTGGTTGATTCATCTTGAGTATTTTGTCTATTGTAATACAGTAACAATAATAGTTTCTGATTTATAACTGTAGAGCCTGATGAAAAAGTTATCGAAAACAGTAGTTCAATCCAATATTTTTCATTCTTGAGTGGAATTATGAAAAATTTGGAAGACAAAAATTATTTACAATGTCTATGTTAACCGTTTCTACAGAATAGCTTGATAATATAAATACGTTGAAAAAAGAGATCTCCGCTAAATTTCGTGTTTCCAATAAAATATTATTGTGTTTCTATTCAAACATTATAGTAGTTCTCAAATATAAACCAAGTAAATGTTATTTGCTTCAATGGTAGTTTTTATTAAAAACCTAACTAACTAATGATCGATTTCAAAGACTCAACGCAACGCGAATTGCAAGAATTCAGTACTTCTTACAGAGAACTATGATTCTCATGATGTGAATGGCGAAGACGAAACTTAAGACAAGTAGATTTGATTCACTCTCCAGAAAACATGATATTCGACGATTAATTAACGAGTATCACATACAATCAAGAAACAACTATATGACAAAGAAGAATCTGTCACGGAAATATAATAAACCAGAGAGATCAGTCAAGGACAAAGAAGGCAAACCAGTCACTGAAATTCAAGGACGGAGAAAGAGATGTGTGGAACAACTTGGGAAACTCTTCAATGAACCTGCTCCATTGAATCCACCGGATATCGAAGTAGCATACACACGTTCCTATAGATGTCGCTCCACCAACAATCGAAGAAATCAGGATGACTATCAGACAAGTCAAGAGTGGGAAAGCAGCAGTACCTGACAATATACCAACCGAAGCACTGAAGTCAGACACAGAAGTAACTGCAAAAATGCTCCATTTTCTATTCAGGAAGATTCGGAAAAAAGAACAAGTGCCACCAACAGACTGAGAAGAAGGATACCTCATCAAGATACCAAATAAAGCAGATCCGAGAAAATGTGGGAACTACAGGGGAATCACACTACTATCGGTACTAGGAAAAGTTTTCAGCAGAGAGCTGCTAAACCGGATGAAAGACTCAGTAGACTCTCAACTTCGAGATCAACAGATCGGATTCCGTAAAGATCGGTCGTATACACACCAAATCGCGACACTACAGATCATTATTGAACAAACAACTGAATGGAACTCATCACTGCATCAACTTCCTTGACAATGAGGAGAACGCATTCGACATTGTGGATAGAAGGACTATAGAAACTTCTTCGATACTGAGGTGTGTCTGAGAAGATCGACAACACTATACAGGATTCATACAACGGATTACACTACAAAGTGGAGCATAAAGGACAGTTAACAGATGCATTCCAAGTGAAGACCGGTGTCAGACAACGCTGCTTACTCTCTCCCTTCCTCTTTCTTATGGTGGTCAACTGGAGGATGAAGACCTCGACATCTGAGAAGAAACACGGAATACACTTGACAGCTTGGAATCAGTGAGACGATTTGGGTTTCGCAGATGAACTGGTCCTTTTATCCCA